AGGCTGGGGAGTAGGAGGCCTGAATAAATTTGAGGATACCATTTTAATTACTTCTTGCATGACTGCTTCTGGAAATTTCCCATTTGCAGAAGTAACGTAATCAACTAGCTCCACCAATGTCTGTCGCTTGATGTCTTTCTCTTTCAAGTTTTTAGTTGGGTCAGAAAAGTCAAACAAGACAGAACACAAGTTCAGCTTTTTGATGAACAAGTTTTGCTTCTCAGAAGCTGGTACATCCCTCAAATTAGGAAATGCCTCATATGAGAAAACTGATGCATTTCCATTCACCTTAGCATTTATAGCCTGTGGAAGTCTATCCCCATGATTCAGTCCTGGAGTTGAAGAACCAGTGACGCCTGAAAGAGACGTAGCACTCAAACTCCCGGATCGGGAACTAGACAAGTCAGCGCTTCTTGAACTATTTGAAGCATTTGACTGAAATGTAGAGCCTCCTCCATCACGATTGTCTGCTGACTTGGATGGCTTCCGTGGGAGCCTATTAAGTATCTGCTTGATCATCTCCTACAAGTAAACCTAAATGCTTTGCTGCTCAAAATACTCAAAATTAAAGACACATCGTCAATCCGAAAGGTCTAAGCTGCAGNCACGGAGATCGTGCACCTCACAAAATTCTTATCTTCACCACCCTAAACCAACATAAAAGCTTTATATGGTCCACTGTTGTGCCTGTATAACCAATTGAATCTCCTCATCATTTCAAACAAGATTAACATAAAGGAAAGTAAAATGAAGAAAATCCAAAATATCTACTGACATAGTTTGACTCAGCACGGCGTTTTAAAAAGAAACGAAGACTTTTGAAACTTGTGGTCACAAGCATGCCATGACATTTGTGTGGTTCTAAGACTTTTGAAACTAGTGCCTTAAACATGTCATAACATTTGTATGACTATAAAAGCTTCTCATTGAGGTAAACCTAAAATTTAAACTTAAATTGTTACTACCAAATATAGAAATGCATCATTCTTTCTGGAACAGAAATGATAAGAAATAGTGACACATATAATGGAGCAGAGTGAATAGTTTCTTTCTTATTTGGGAGGAATAAAGCTAAATTATCAACTCTTCTAACCAAATCCATCTTTTTCTTCAGAAACTATCAAGGCACTCCCATTAAAAACATAAAAAGGTAGCACAAAAACCAAACCCAGATGCAGCAAATGTAATCTAACCCATAAACAGATAAAAAGTTATACAAAAGCATCAGAATTTAAATATCAAAGATTACAATTCTGACCCATTAATGTCGTTTTGTAACTATAAAGGTAAGAAATGTGCACCAACCTTGATTTTTTCTTGTATCTGAGGCTCAAACAACTCAAAGGTGATGTATCAAGATGAAAAAATGTTAAGATCTGGGCATGAGTTTGAGAAAAATTCCAGATGAAAATCCTCACCAGGAATCACCTGCAAGAAAAAAATTTAAAGAAAAATAATAAAGCAGCATTAAAGGCAGAGAAATCATGAGCTTTGAATGCTTACATTAAGTTGGTTTTGGTGGTGACAAGAAAGAAATAAAGCTGGAGAGTGAAAAAAGATTGAATTTCTTTATTTTTAGAGAGTTAGGTGAGTGATTTCAAATCTGAAAACAACCCCAACTGAAGGGAGGGAAGACAGGAAAAGGGGATGATGGATTTGAGGAAACCAATCTCTCGTTGTTAGTTTCCTGATGAATGATGATGATGATGTGTTTGGTTAGCAAGAATTATTGTTCTTCCCATTTTTCTCTTGCCATTTTGTCTCCTACTTTCCTTTTTTTCCTCTCTCTAACTTTCCTTTTCTACCTTTTCTTTTCTTTTCTTTTGGAAAATGGGTCAAATTTGCCCCTATGGTCCAAATTAAATAAGTTTGCCTTCCATTAAATTTTTTATCTATTATTACCTTTTTGTAGGAAAAATTTTATTTTTGCTCCTTAATTGAGTTTAGTGTAATTTTAAATTATAGTTAAAATTAATGGGTAAATTTAATAAAGCTTTCTTCTTGAAAAAATTAGATACGTGAATCTCATTTATTTCATTCTGAAGCTCCCTTAACTCTTAAGTATAGTTGGGCAAATTCAAATACTTTCGAATAATACAAAGGTAAATTTCAGTCTTTTTTTTTTTCCTCATTCTATTATTGGTTTTGTTCTTCACCCCTTTGGTCCTTTTTTGGTTTATATTTTCGTTTTTTTTTTCCTAACATATGTCAACCTTTTTTTTCTCCAACAAATCTAATTATACTTTCTGAATTTCTCCAGAATTCAGTTTGGACCATTTTCACCTTCAAAGTCTAAAGAGAATTAGAGAATGTGAAGGTTCAAGATGAGAATTGAAAAGCAAAAGTAAAGAATATGGGCAAGGGGCTTACCAAATACTATCAATTGTAGTGTAACAAGAGAGATACGGCATGTTCATTTCCTCTCCTTTTATAGAGAAGAAAACGTTCTGATTATTTTGTTCTATTTTATTCTTCTAAGTGCTTGAATTTAAATATCAGAAAATTGTTTTTATCAATTATTGTGAGAGTTAGGTTGTGTATTTTGTTTCAATTTCGAAAGAAAAAAAACCTCGGTGTTGTTTCTCCTTTGGTCACATGAAAAAATGTTAGCTTTCAAGCATTTGTCTGAGAATTTCATTACTTGGATCAAAAGTGCTCAAAAACTACAAACTTAAAGATCATATGTACTTAGAACAATTTACTAACAACAAAAATATGCATATCTCCAAACTTAAAGAACCATTTCAGTTAAAAGCTCACGAGAAAACTACGGAGTTAACTAATTTTATTCATGGTCATTGAACTTTTGTGTTTGTTACCCAAAAGTCACTTTTCTTTTTTTTTGTTACGTAAAACTCATTCAACTTTGTGTTCATTACACAAAAGTCACTTTTCTTTCTTTTGTTACACAAAAATCATTTTACTTTGCTCTAGTTATCACAAAAGTCATATTTTTACTTGAAAAGTCTATTATGCCCTTGATATTATATAAACCTTCATATTTATGTTATAGCTTCTATATTATATACTATATAATATATTTTTAACTATGTATATAATTTATATATAAAATAACTTAATATTATTTTTATAATATATTCGTATATTTAATTTTTTCTTAACGTTAATTTTCAAAATATATTAGTAGCGTTATTAAATTTGTCAGTAACTTTAATATATATTAGTAGAGAAATAAATCGGCAAGTACATTTCCGTGAGAAAATTCGCAGGTAAACAAACAAGAAAATGAGGAAAAAATCATATGTTAATGTGAAGGAAAATCCCTAGGTACTACATGCGAATTGAGCTAGGGATATTTTCTTGGGGATTTACCTGGCTAATTGTTTATTTGGAAAATTATATTACTAGAAATTCGGAAAACAACGTCCACAAAAATCGATCAAAGTTGGTCGGTAATGGCCAATAACCGTCCAAAACGCGATCATTAACGTGTGGTCGGTATTTTGAAGGTCGGAAGGGCATACCGACCAAAGTTAGTCGGTAATTACAGACCAACTTTGGTCAGTCAATTAAATTCAAAGAAAAAAGAATTGCTGAAAAAAAGTTGCTTTATAACGCTACTAATATATATTGAAAATTAACGTTAAGAAAAAATTAAATATACGAATATATTATAAAAATAATAAATAAAATAATATTAAGTTATTTTATTTATAAAATAAAATACATAGTTAAAAATATATTATATAGTATATAATATAGAAGATATTACATAAATATGAAGGTTTATATAATATCAAGGACATAATAGACTTTTCAAGTAAAAATGTAACTTTTGTGATAACTAGAGCAAAGTAAAATGATTTTTGTGTAGCAAAAGAAAGAAAAATAATTTTTGTGCAATGAACACAAAGTTGAATGATTTTTACTTAATCAAAAAAAGAAAAATGACTTTTGGGTAACAAACACAAAAGTTAATAACCATGGATAAAATTATCTCAAAACTACGCATCCCAAAATGTCCCTATCCCTCTTAGGTTGTCATTTAACGGTTGCTTGCCATTTCTGTTTTCCCCTGTTACAAAGTCTGGAATTTAGTTAGCTTGAGCAGTTTCCTGTCTTTAATACTTCTTGTTTTTAATTGGTCTAATCTCTTTTTCACATCTCAATTTCAAATCATAAACATTGTCGTATTCTCTTCTTTTTCTTTTTGTATAATATTGGTCATTATGAACCTGAATTTTTAAAATCGACTCATCAATTTGCACCGATCCATTCTCTGTCGGCTGTAAGTTATAATCAAAAACTGAAGGTAGCGATTGGAAGTTTCCTATTCATAGTATTAAGACTCAAAGTTTTCGAGAGAACTTGTGTCGTTGCTGCTTTAGACCCCCAAAAAAATTATTTTTTTAAGGGAGCAAATTCAGGCTTAATCTGAAAACTATAATCTTCTCCGATAAATAAAAATACAAAAAATAAAAACAATGATAAAGATCTTCCTTTCTCATAAATAAATGAGAGAACATGAGGTGGTACTTGCCTCAAAGTCAAGTTATTCGACGGCTACATTACCTTCAGAATATGGCAAAACTAAGGATCAGAAATTAATCATTAAGATTATTGGGATCCTCACTATTCAGATATTGTTAGATAATATATGAGCAGTCCATCTCTTTCCAATTGTAACACTCCAGCTGTTCCTTAGCTCACGCTTGAAGATTTTCCTATAATACTCCAATTAAAACACTAGTAACTGTTCCTCCAGTTGTTTAACTTTGCTTTCATTATTTCCAAGTTTTTTTTTTTTCAAATCCCTGTCAATGGCCAAAGGAGCAGACAACCTTCTCCTCCAATCTATTTGATTGGTTTTGTTAATGGCACCCAAAATGTGGGCATGTTGAGTAGTAGAAAACATTATAATTATAAGCTAAGAACGAAGACCTACTGAAGAAAAGATAACTAGAATATTCAGACACAGAAAAGGTTCCATCAGTGGAGGTTACTATCATTTCACGTTTTACCCGAAACACTTAGTGACCGCACGGGCCCTAGGTCTCTAAGCCAACAGATCAATGCCACACATATAACACGACCAAGTAAACAAAAGTTTGTCTTAGATAAATAAGCAGTTGGACATATAAATTCAGTCAAAAGGATAAGAGCTTTGAGCCAGAAACAGAAACCTCTTTAGATACTTAGTAAAATGTGCAGTGAAAGGTGTTTTAATGGTACAAGTGTGAAATGAAAGGTGTTTTAATGTCTAGAAGGGAAAGGCAATTCATACATCACAGTATAATCCTTTTTGCAGGAGGTTGCTTAGTGTGCGAAATCAGAAGATAAAATGGAATGTCAGTTCATAGAGGGGAGAAGAAGACAAGACAAAGACAACTACAACAAGGGTTGTCAAAAGCTTCAAACTTATAGTTATACAGATTTAAGAGTCATGGAAATTGTCTCCAAGTACAAACACACCAAAGAATATAGGACAGAAGTTTAAATCCTTCACCAGAAAGCTGAAGTAGCTTATACACAGGCTTGCTAATGTATAACAAGGGAGAACTAAGAGGTCTTGCAGCTGCAGTAGGGAGACTCAATTTTCCACCCACGCATTAACTGAACATTTCTTTACTGTCTGGATCAACTAAAGGCATAAACATAATAATTACTTATCTACAATTAAATCGTGCTATTAAACTGACAGAGGGTGATGAACATAAGCTTAACTGCCAAGAGATGGAAGTGTAGCAATCACAAAAGTAAGATGGCACTTTTCCCTTCAGTAAAGAATACATTACACATCTGGTGCAGTTCTGGTGATCTCCTCCAGAAGAGCTTTATCTTTATGAACCCAGGTTGACAGTGGTGGGTGAACATTTAAAGATCACAGCAGTCTGTCAAGCTGATTTAAGAAATGTCGAGATGCCAAGTTCCCTCTGCTCCTCAAAACAAGATGAGACGCTGCGTGAAGAGGATAAGCATAAACAAATGAAGAAAGAAAGTTGGAGATTATCCCAACCCACTGAAAGATTGGAAGTACAAGATTCTGAGCATCTGTCGTAGGCTGAGCAGCAAGGCAATTTAAACTTTGATCTCAGCGCTCCATTAACGCAGTTTCAGTTTCTGACAAAGGTGCTGCAAGAGTAAGATGTTTATTAAACTATTAGACAGTCAATAGTCTAGTAAAGGAAACAAGGCAACGGAAGTAGATCATAGCATCCAGGGAAGCAAGAAGGAGACAGCTTAAATAAGTTGCAAAGCAAAGTGAACAAAAAGAGATGACTCTCTCTCTCTCTCTCTCTCTCTCTCTCTCTCTCTCTCATTCATACACACACACACACACACAGAATGACCAACAATAAACATTCAATAAAATTTAGCAATGGAAGAAATTGGTCCAAACTCCAAATAGAGCAAAATGAATATTTGAGGATTCATACAGCCAATGCCAACTAGTTTGGGGTTGAAATATAGTTGGTAATTGGTATTTTGATTGATTGAAGCATTTAACAAACAACAATTCTCTTTTTGATCATGAAGCATTTAACAAAGAAAATTGGGAAGCCATTTAATGTCCAGAATTAGGAAATGCTTTCAATAATCATTCATCCACTGCTACCAGTTAGGGTCATGGAACCTATATTTTGAACTTAAAAAAATATAGCATTGGCACAGTTATGGAAGGTAAGCTGCTAATGAGCTCCACAAATGATACCCTTAACTCATAATCCCCCAGTCAAAGAAAAAAGAAAACAAAGGTAAACCAAGTGGATTTAAATTAAGAATCTAAATCATGTCTACAGCATGGTCTTAAGATTAAAAAAATCAGCTTTGATAGATAGCCCAGGG